CCCGGCGTGGCCGGGTAACGGCATCCGGAGGGGGAAAAAAAAAAAAAAAAATTAAAATAAATCCATGAGGTATTTGTGACCCTAACAAAACCAAGGGAAGGCAAAAGCTTTTGCGTCCCCGGTGGCGAGCCAGCCCCAGCTCGCGGGACCACCACAGGCCACCTGCCCCCACGGGACATCAATTAAGGATGTCACTGAGCCACGAGCCCTCATCACCCCCGCCAGAAACCCCTCGTTTCGTTCACCCCGTTGGCTCTGGGTGCAGGATTGGACCCCAAGAGACGTTTCAAGCTGCTCTGCCTGCAACCCATGGCTGCGGCTCCCGCCCGGGGGGGGCCAGGGCTGGGGCCCCAGCCGGTGTGGGGAAGCCCCACAGGGAAGCCGTGGGGACCAGGGACACGGGTCGCCTCAGGAGCAGGGAAACCGCCTAAAAAAACCCCTTCTGCTTCTCTTAAAAACCAGATTTTCACTTGCTTTTGTTAAGAGCTGAGCACGGACGCCGTCAGCAGAGAGGAGGACGTTCCTACATCCAGGAGCATCACCGCTCCGGTGTCTTGGATGCCAGGGGAGGTTTTCATAGCAGCCACGGATCACGGAGGTGTTTGCAAAATACTCCCGAAAAAAAAATCTCTAGGATTAAAAACCAGCCCCAGACGGCGGGTGGTGGTTTAAGGTCAGAGCCAGGAGAGCTGCCAGGTAGAAAACGGGCAAGCGCAGAAGGTCCTTGGGACCCGATGGTGCTTGAAGACGCTGGTGAAGAACAGGTAGAGTTAGCCCTTGAGTTATGGCACCGAAACGCCGTCTCCTTCCTGGCCGTGCCGCTGTCCTCCGCCGGCTGCGCCTTCTGGGGGGATGCTACACGGACCTGGGTTTCGGGGAGGAGGAGGAGGAGGAGGAAGGGGCTCAGCCCACCCCAACAGGGGCCAAGCCGAGGCGGAGGGCGAGTGGTCACAGGTAGGTGATGGAGCTGGGCATGGGTGCTGCTTCCCGGCGCCCGCCGCAGTTCTGCCCTCGAGCCGTGGCCTCCCTGAGCCCCGGCGGAGACGGGGAGGACGAGACGGAGGGGTCCGGAGAGGGTCTCCCCCCAACCCTTCTCCATCCCTCTTCAGCTCACACGGAGGTCTCCGACTGCAGCCTCATGACGAACTTGTGCGACTTGGGGTCCACGAACTCCTCCGAGAGCTTGAAGAAAGGGATCTTCTTGGTGCTCACCACGAGGCTGAAGTCCTGGCGCTTCAGCACGAAGACCACCCCATCTTTCAAGCCGTTCGTCACCGGCTCCTCGCTGACCAGCGTCCACTGCTTGGCCAGCCAGCGGTCCTTGTGGTACTGGATGGTGGGCCCGGCCGTCAGGTACCGCTCAAGGAACGCCTTGGAGAAGGGAAAGGACACGTGAACGTCACCTTCCTACGGCTCAGCCTATATTTTTTTGCAGCCTCAAGCTGCTCGGCAGGTCCTGCAGGAAAAACATCCCCGCGCGGCTGGTTCCCAGCGCGGCGCGTTGCTCCCTTGGGGTTACACCCGCTTTTCCGTCTATCCCCCAACCCCTTCTCCTCCCGGGGGGATGCTCTCACACGGTGGGGAAAAAACCCCACCCAAGTCCTCACGCTCTGGACCAAGCCCTCGGGCAAACCTGGAGACCCGTCCCACCTCGCCGTGCCCCCTGCGCACCTTGGGCGTCATGTCGTGGGTGATGCAGAACTCGAGGTGCTGCAGGATGCTCTCCATGGTGTGGTAGGGCTGCTGCTTGGTGGTGCGCAGGTACTTCTGCATGGCCCGGGCCATGGAGGCGAAGATGGCCTGAGCTGCCTCCCGTGGGTCCATGATCTCCCGTGGGTTCTTCTGGTCTTCCTCCTGCAGCCGCTTGATGTGGGTGAAGGCTTCTTCCACCGCCACCACCAGCCTGCCGGGAGGAGAGGCATGGACGTGGCTGCAGCGGGGCAGAGTCTGGCCACGGGCAGGAGATCCCCGGGGGTTGGGGGCAGTCACTCGCCGCCTGCCTGCCTACGGATGGCAGGAACCCAGCTTCCACCCCAAAACAGCTTTGGGGGAGATGTGGCTGTGCCACGCAACAGCCAGGCTGGGGATGTGCTTCCCCAGCAGCAGGGACACCTCATCTGGGGGGGCTGGAGGTGACCCCGGGAGCCCCCTCTCCCTCCTGCCAGCACAGTCCAGGTCCTTGTGGGGGTCCTGGCACGGGCACCCCATGGGGGACGCAGCAACGGGGCACCCGCTGCTGCATGGAGCCCGGTCCCCGCTGCCAGCCCCGTACCTGGCGCGGCGTTTCCGCACCCTGCGCTCGTGCTCTGCCTCCTCGTAGTAATACTCGTTGTGGCTGTTGTCGCGCCGCCGGGCAGCCGCTGCGATGACGGCCCGGGACTGGCCCGTGGAGTTGTTCGTTGTGTTTTCTGCAGGGAAAAGGGTTGGAGGAAAAAAAAAAGAGGAGTTGGGGGGCTCCGGGATGCCCAATGCTCCCCCTGCCTCACGGCCAGGCTGCGGCGATCCTGCTCCGGGCTCTCCAGAGCCGAGAGGAGGCTCCGGAGAGGAAAACACAGGGATGGGGGAGGGAAGGAGGAGAGAGAACAAGAGGAGAAGCCAAGGGAAGGGGAGCTCACCCTCGCCGAGGGAATAGACTTTAAACCCAGACATTTTCTTGGACAGGACGGATTTTGGCAGGTTGAGGAGGGCAGGGTTGTAGACCGGGAAATCGTGGTAATAGTTCTCCAGGATCCAGACGGCTGCTCGTTGGATGCTGCAGGGAGACACAGCCGGGCACGGCGGGCACAGAGAGCCGGTTAGCACCGCGCCGGGGGCACACACAGCCGGGCAGGACGAGGAGGGAGGGACGGACGGACAGCGCGTGGCACCGCGGGGACGGCTCATCCCGCGGAGTGAGCAGGGCTGTACCCGCTGCGGGGCACGCTCGCGGCTCCTCCGGCCACCTGATGCCACGGCGCCGCGGAGGGCAGCGGCGTGGGCACAACCACTTGTGAATATGGGTGTGCATGTGCACATATGTACACGCACACGCACCACGCCACATGCACACGTGTACGAGCGCACACACAAATTTTACGGTTGGACTTGACCATCTTAAAGGTCTGTTCCAACCTGAATGATTCTATGAATGTACGCGCATGGATGCCCGTGCACACACACGAATGCCCATGCACATATGTATGTGCACACCTGCACGTGCACACGCGTCAATGCTCATGCACGTACGTACGTGCACACCTGCACACGCACACCCCGTGCACACACAGACGCAGGACCCCCCCCGGCACCCCCGTACCTGAGATGGCCGACGTTGTAGAAGCGGCTGGCCCCGTCGGCGGAGCGGACGGCCTTGAGAGTGAACTGGGGCTGGAGCTGACGCAGCTCCAGCAGCACCACGGCCAGGTAGTGCACGAAGAGCAGCGCGTCCACCAGCGAGACGGCGTACTGCACCACCCCCTGGTAGTTGCGGTCCCGCGAGTCCAGGATCCGCACGCCGTAGAAAAGCCAGTAGGAGACGACGAGGAGGAAGACGAGCACCATGAGCAACGCTCGGAAGACGAAGACGCGAGGGAAGAAGGCTTTGGGGCGACGGAAGAAGAGAGCCCAGCTGCCCAGCAGGAGGATGAGGAGTTTGAAGGCCACGGAGATGAAGAGCCCCTCGCAGGGTGTCCCGCAGGGCTCCAGCTCCTCCCGCCACAGCAGCTGGGGCAGGAGCATGAAGGCGAGGGGGGTGAGGAAGGCAAGCAGCGCCAGCGCCCCGGCCAGCGAGACGCCCAGGTGCCGGGAGCAGTCCAGGTGGGCGCTGTCCTCCATGTCCTTGGTGATGCGGGTGATGTCATCGTGCGAGATGCTGTGCTCCGACGTCCCCGTCACCACCGTGGTGGTCTCGCCCCAGTTGTCATCCTGGGGAGGGCAGATGGGAGGGTTACGCGGGGGATGGCTCTGTGTCCCCCCCATCCCCAATGCCGCGGGGGGCTGCCGGCCGCGCCGGACCCCCACCCCAACCCAACGCCAGCATCTCCCATCCGCCAAACCTCAAAGCCCGGCGCGCTGCCCGGTGCCATCACCCCCATTTAGACGGCGGAAACCTCAGCCCGGGGTGGGGGGACGCAGTGATTTGGCTGGGAACCTCTAGGAAACCCCCGTCGGCAGCTCCGTGCCGCGCTCCACCTCTCCGGCACCGGTGAGAGCAGCTTTGGAAGTGGGAAGGATCCTGCTTCCAGGCAAACCCCCTCATTAGCAGGGCCAGAAGGAACATGCCCGGCTGCCGTCCCGACACACCCTCGCCGCCGCCGCGCAGGCAGGCGCTGCCTCCTCCAGTGCCGCGCCGGGCAGGACAAAGTCGCCGGCGATTCGGCAGCTCAGAGCGCTGGACAGGTCTCCCACCACCTCCCAAAACCCCCTCCTCAAGCCAGAGGGGTGTGGAAATGACCCGTTCACATTTGATTCCTTCCCAGCTAAAATGCAGGGTTTCAGCGGAGCGAGAAGACGTTGCACCGCAGGCGCTGAAAACGCTGCCCCAGCACAGCCATGGATCTGTCCATCTGTCTGTCCTCTCACTCAGACTGTCACATTCTGGTTTACAGCACTGAAACTTGGGGGTTTATTGTATTGTATTTTCTCCCCCCTTGAATTTCTGCAGGAAAGCCAGCAATTTCATACCAAACAGCACAATAAAGGCACGGTCTGGGGCTTTCCGGAGGGATGGGAAGCGGAGAAGGGTCCGGGAGGGCCAGTCCATATGGCAGCCCATCGCCAGGCAAAGCCACGCAGCCATCGGCTCGCTCCGGCCACGGCTGGA